CCCTTGCTCCTTTCCTCTACTGATTTCCTGTCATTCTTGGGACATCCACACCCACTCTTATTTTCCTCTCTAGCTTCTGCCTATGAGAGAAACCACAGGACATTTAACTTCCTGAGTTTGACTTATTTCCCTTAACATACTTGTGTCTAGTTCCATCTGTTTTCCTGCAAATGACAGAGTTTCATTTTTCTTTCTAACTAAAACCCCCCTGTGTAAAGATACCACATTTTCTTTGTGCAGTCATCTGTTGATGGACACCAAGGCTGGTTCCATAGTTTAGCTATTGTGAATTGTGCTGCCATAAACATGGGTATGCCTGTGTCACCATAGTACAATTACTTAATTCTTCTGCAACCAGGAACCAAATGCATGTTGAAACATGCTGGGAGGACCGGGAATTCCCAAGCCTGCATCTCAGTGGTGAGGAATGCCTCAAAGCCCTACCTTGATAGTGAGGATAAAGAGAGACTCCTCCCTGATGTCTTCCTAAGGGACCTGAAGGGAGATGACAAGTTGTACCAATACCCTTGTTGACATCACAGTGATGTGTCACTACTCCTGCTATGTCATGTGGATCAGTGAAACTTTGCCTACATGAGTGACTAATTAAGAATCACTAAACCAATTGTTAGTTTCTTCAAAACTGCTCTATAGCTAGGTTGTTTTTTTCTGAAAGTTAACTGTATTTGGATATATGGTGTTAAAAGAGGCAAATTCAATCAAGATAATTGTGTGCATTTACCACTGCAATATGATCAGTACCCTCACAACAGAAGGAGTTTGGGGAAGGGTTGGGAGCAGCAAGACTATGTAGAGACACAGGGTGGCCAGCCTGTACAAGGCAGGAACAGTGGTCTCAGAAGAAACAGGCCCTGCAGACATGTTGATATCACAATCCTAGCCTCCAGAATCATGAGAAAATCAGTTTGTTTTTAAAGCCACTCTGTCTCTGTCTTATTGTTATGAAAGTTATGAAACTCTTATGAAAGCCCTTTCAAACTTGGTGAGCTAACACAATAATCTTAGCAGAAGGCATACTAATCTTTTGAAAATATGGATGAAATTAGAAAGTGATTTTCAACAATTTTGAGAAGAAAAATTTTGTGGATTATAAAATTATGGCTTATTTAGAAAAATATATCAGATTCTAAATACTTTGAAAGCCAACAGGAGTTGATTCTGAGTTTAGTCATGGATGGACACCCAGTCAAGGGTTCTCAGATGCAGTAGAAGAAGAGACACATACAAGCATTCCCCTGCTACAGGGGCTGGAGGACAAATGTGGGAAATGATGTAGCAAAGACCACATGAGCTTGATGAGTGTGTGTTGAAGTGAGTAAGAGCATAACAAGTTGAACAGTGATAAGAAAAAGAGGATGGGGTTTGGGTGGTGGGGTCAGTGCACTGGAGGATCCTGAATGGTAGGGTCTGGGAAAGGAGAGTGAGCTTGATAAATGAGAAGGAAGACCTTGCCCTGACAGGTAGGGCTTGTGCTCTTTAACAGCAGAGGCACTATCGCAGTTCAGCTTAGAGGTTGTGTTGGTGTCTTCAAAGACATTGTGCTCAGCCAAAGGGAAAGAAAGGGAAAAGTGTTGCTTTTTTTCAGTTGGATAAATTTATCCAGTTGGATGAATTTATCATCTAAGGAAGACCATGTAAATCTTTGTTTAGGTCATTTTTTAAATGATGAATTGCCCTTTAATCAACAGGGTTATGATAAAAACCCAATATTTGAAAATTTGTAATCATATTTAGTAAATTATTGGTGCTTTTTTTGTTTTGCTTTGTGTTTCTTTGTTTTGTTTCTTTGTTTTTCATTGGGATAAATCTCAGGGAAATCATGCCATGGAGCTACATTCCCAGCACTCTATTTTTTATTTTTATTTTTCATATTTTGAGAGCAGAGATTGAGCACAGGGATGCTTAACCCCTGAGTCCCATCCCCATCCCCAGCCTATTTTGTGGTTTGTTTGTTTGTTTGTTTTTTGTGTTTTGAGACAGGATCTCACTTAGTAGTTTAGAGCCTGGCTGTTTCTGAGGATGGCATTGAACTTTGGTCTTCCTGCCTCAGCCTCCTGGGTGGCTGGTCTTTCAGGTGTGCATCATGCTCCTGGATTTTTCTCTTTTTTCAGTGGAGGCACAATAACATGAGTGAATTTTAGTCTTCATAATAAAAAATTATAATTCCTCCACAAAATTTATGATATGATGATGGATACACTACAATTTTAAATATCTGTCTCATATGTATGTATCTATAATTAAAAACAGATATCACAACTGATGATGGATGGATATTGAACAGGATTTCAAAAGTTTCAACTAGCACATTAGCAAATGACCAGACTAATCAAATAGATTTCATCCTGATACCAGTCATCATCTATGAGCATCATTTCTGAACATCCTTAATATTAATTAATGTGACCATCTCTGACACTCCCACCAGGACCCCAGTACTTAAGCTGATTTGGATAAATGGAACTATAAGGGCTGGATTGGCAGGATGATGCCATTGATTCCTCAAAATGGAAATCAACTTGAGTTGATTCATGCTTTCTTAATAGAGATCCTGACTTGATTGCTCCTAAATCCAGGAACAATAGATCTACCTCATGGATGAGGGAGGGTTGGCAGGGAGTGAGACTCCAAGGGGACACAATTTAACTTAGAGAACCACTGCTAACAAATAGAGCAAAATCAGTGAAATCTGAGAAATTCCACAATGTTTCCCTAGAGGTGGAAACCAAAGTCTGCATGTTGGTTAAAAAAGTGATATTTCTTCAAAATCTAAGAGCATTTTATAACTCTGGACCCTTTATTGGGCAATTCACATGTGAAAATCAAGGTTTTCCATTTATATGTAAATGCATATATGGAGGTTTAATTTCTTCATTTTTGTTAGTGATCATGTTCACATTCTTTTGAATTTTGGTTTTGGAATATGAACCGAGTACTGCACCCATAACATTTGGGCAATCTGAATTTTCCTTGTGTTAGCACTGCATTTTAGACAAAATAATGTCTAGGATTTCATGAGAGAGGAGTCAGGATGTCTTCTAAATATGTTGAATATCATGATTTTTCTTCTTTATCCACAGTATTTTCTGAAAATTGTTTGGACTGTGTGTGAGTGAAGAGGAAGATTGCAGAAAGCAAAACCATGACTATGAATCCATTAGTGGGTGAGCAGTGAATGGCTTTTCTATTGAAATTTTCCCCCTATTGACAGAGATGCCAAGTCTTCAGTGCAAGCAGGAGTTAATCCTGTACCCCACAACTCTGCAGTTGTCACCATGGGCCAGGAACTCATCAGCAGGCAACTGATGTCCTTCCTGTTAGGACACCACTATACCATGGTACCATTCCTGGCTGTGTACTTCCAGAAGGAATGGGACATATTGAATCTCACATTTTGCCTATGACTCCATTTGAAATAATTACTGATTAATGATGTTACTTATTGCAATGATGTTTGGATTTTGGTGAATTCAGGTGAGGGAAATGAGTGAGGAGTAGAACCTCACAGCCAAACATGGAGGCAGATATTCTAGCACATGAATTCTGTTGACACAGTGCCACAGGCATTCAAGTAATACTGAGAAAAAAATAAAAGACCTAGGCTAGAGAAGGCATGAGAAATAATGGGGTTTTTTTGCAATTTTAAACTTAGAGTTTTATGGAATAAATTTCAACTTTTGATAACCCCCCTAAAAAAAACCCTAAATTAATCATGATCATTTTTATTTAAAATTTTGTTACAACTTACTAATAAAATATTCCTTCATATTTTCTACTGGAAGTTGTTTATGCCAACTTATATTAACCTAATTGATGTTTGTCATTAAAATATACTATTAATTCATATAGTAGACAGATCAAATTTTTTGAAGAACTGGATACGTGAAAACTAATAAAGAAACAGAGAAATGAGATCAAGATATCAGAGAGACATTGAAAAGTAGTCTTTGGAGCTCAAGAGAGAATTGAGGATGAGAGTTGTAGTATAGGGATGGTTGCTGGGACTCTGCCTCAGAGTACGTCTCAGAGACTGTGCCTTGTGCTGCTCAAATGTCTGTCCTTAACCTTATTCTGACCTCCTTGGTCACATTGTGAGAAGAGTGACTCTTCCTACTTACACCAAGTTATATGCAATTTGTTCAGTTCTCAAAAATTCTGGAGATTGGTTCAAGAATGTCTGCATTATTCTGCTTATAGGGTTATAGTTTAAACATGTATTGAAGATATAAAGAAATTCATTGGCCTTTTAAACACTCACATTACTAAATATTTTACTGATGAGGGATATAAGATACCTCTTTGTGAAAATGACTATTTTATACATAGTCAATTTTCAAGATGACAAATTAATCTTAAGGTTGGCCTGGTGATAATTCTGGAAAGTTACTTAAATAAGTGGGGATTTAAATTTTAGTTGAAAATGTTCAAGTGAAAATTTTATAATAGCATGATTGAAAGTTATTCTTACTAGTCCTTAAAATGTTTTTCATGTTTCATGACTCTCTATCATTCCATATTCCTTTACTATAAATTTGATGAATTCAATCAATGTATGTACATTCTGGTTTTCTGAAAGTAAGCAGGTTGGGAGCTGAAAATGAATAGGCTGGAGCCTTTAACAGTTTGATCTCCCTGCAAACCTAGTTTCCCCTATGCCTCATGCTGTCCTCTCAACCCTTCTTTTGTGAAATTGATCTCCTTGCTCTTTCTTTTTTTTTATTCATTTATTTTTTTTTTTAATTTTTTATTGTTGGTTGTTCAAAACATTACAAATTTCTTGACATATCATATTCCACACTTTGCTCTTTCTAATCTAGCTTGTCAATTCCGTTCTAGGAATTGATGTCCATTGAAGATGTAAGCATAAGTTTCACCCAAGAAGTGTGGGCCATGCTGGACCCATCTCAGAAAATGCTACACCGGTCAGTGATGCTGGAAATCATTAATCATCTAGTATCAGTTGGTAAGTCCATCAATGATATATATGAAATATGTGAAAGTATACCTATTTCTTCAATAACAGTATCTGGAATAGCCTCTCTATTCATTTCCAATCTTCATCCTGATTTTCTCATAGAACTTATAATTACATGCAAGAAAGCTGCTTTTATTTATTACTTTAATTACAACTTATTTGACTCCACACTACAATATGGTCCACACCATAATGTTATGTATTCATTAAAATTAAATTATACATAGACCAAATATTTATAAATAATTATACTTATATTGTCACTGTGCAGGAGGATTGAATACCAAAACAAGAGAATTCTGAACATTTTTGTGTGATTATTTGGATTCCATTTGAAAGTAATATTTAGTGGAGAGATGAAGTACCTGAAAAACTGCTGATTTGGCATTCTTTGAATGTCATTGTGAGCATGTGTGTCCTTCAGTCCTCCCTGGTATGGGAGCATTCTATCTTTTATTCGACTGCAGTGAGGGAACTTCAATATTTTCTCTGCTAAATAGTTTCTACCAGTGCCTTGGTTCGCTATTGTTGTTAAGTCATCTTCATGGCCTTGTCACTAATGCACATTTCTTGGCAGAAATGCTAAAATCCAATGGCTTTTTTTTTTCTTACCATGCATAGGGTATCTGCTCTGCAAATCAGATGTGACTTTGTATCTGGAGGAAGGGAAAATCCTGTGGATGGGAGAAGGGACAGGATTTCTCCCAAGCCAGAGTCCAGGTAAGAGACCGAGACATTTGTGATTCTACAGAGATGGGTGCCCAGCCAGTGATTGAGCATGGAAATATTATCAGACATAGCTGTGAAATGAATGTGGTTGTCTAAAATATAGTAGGGGACTATGGGACAAAATTTCTCATGTATAACATAGTTCCTTTTAATTTAAATTCAAAATGTTTCCTCTGTATTTATATTTTCATTGAGAGGAAAACCTGTTAGTGTATTTTTTAGTCAATTTCCATGTCTCTTTTTCAGATTTTCTCCTTTAAATTTTATCCTCCATTACATTTTTAACAATAATTCTATCTTGATGTTTTTTATAATTCCCAATGTTCTATTTTTCCAAGATATATATTTTTTTATCTAAGCCATATCCTCCATGAAAGAGTCAATGATGAAAAAAGACATTCTCATGAGATTTGCTGACTTTCAATTTTGTGTCTCTGAATTTCATGCTACCAATTTGTATTTCCAACTCTTCTAGGGACGGAAAATGAATATCAAAAACACTAATTATGTAAGTTAAAGTCCTGTCTGTGGAATAAATTAGTAACCGAGTACAATTTGATGGCTGTCATTATGTTGAGAATACACAACTTCTGTGTCAAAACATCTGTATAGCTTGCATTCTGGGAGAAATTAAAAAGATTCCAAATGCACAAGCATTTCTCATGTAGCTATTTGAAATATTGAAGACCATAAAGTTAATCAGAGCCCCTTTAAATAAAATACTAGTAAACGGAAAATACTTGGCTCACCTGGGAATTATCTACAATGTTCATGGAATTAAAAGTAAAAAGATTTTCATTTTCATATTACAATGGATTGTTCTAATATTCTTGTGTAGAAAAAATAAGATTCTTATGTATAAATGTTAAGTTTACATGGAGACATCATTAAGAAATGTTCATCTTTTTTACAAAACAGAAATCTCATGTTAAAGAGGATTCCTTGGAATGGAGAAAAGCAAGGAACCCCTGGGACAACAAACACTGTGCATGATCCCTTGCTAACAATTTGTATCTTGGTGAAAACAAGAAAAATGATCGTGTCTCATGTGAAGGGCAAGAATGTTTGAAAGGACATAGGAATTGTTTATGACCTAGAAAATGCAACAAGAACGACCCTGGAGAGATACAATATGAATGTCGTCAATGCAGCAAATCCTTTAATCAAACTTCTGATCTAAGCAGACTCAATGAAACTAGAACAGGGGAAAAGAAGCATGAATGTGGTTTTTCTGAGAAAGTCTTCAATTACTGCTCTCAGCTTAGACAACATGAGAGAACCCAAACCGGTGAGAAACAAAATGAATGCCACGTGTGTGGGAAAGCCTTCAGGAAGACTTACAACCTTAAAATGCATAAGTAAGTCCATGCTGGAGAGAAACAATACAGATGCCATCCATGTGGGAAAGCTTTTTGTAAATTATACAGCCTTCAAATGCATGATAAAATCCACATAGGAGAGAAACCATACAAATGCCATGTGGGTGGGAAAGCCTTCAGCAAATCAGTTCACCTTAGTCATCATCCGATAATCCACACAGGAGAAAAACCATACCAGTGTCAATTATGTGAGAAATCCTTTGGTCAAACATGCTACCTTAAACTTCATCAGAGAACACACACTGGAGAGAAACCCTATCAATGCCACCTGTGTGGGAAATCCTTCAGTCAATCTTGTTACCTTAAACCACATCAGAGAATCCACACTGGTGAGAAACCATATGAATGCCATGTATGTGGGAAAGCCTTCAGTCTATCATCTAGCCTTAGACACCATGAGAAAACACATATTGGAGACAAACAATACAAATGTCACCTATGTGGAAAAGCTTTCAGTACATGCTCTGGCCTGAGACACCATGAGAAAACACATACTGGAGAGAAACCATACAAATGCCCTGTGTGTGGGAAAGCCTTCAGTCAATCATCTGGCCTCAGAGTTCATGAGAGAACACACACCGGAGAAAAATAACATGCATGCCACTGTGTGGCATACTCCTTGGCCATAACCCTAGTATTGAAAAATGAAACATGACTTGCCTTGGAGAATAGCCACTGGAATGTCACCTGTGTGGAAAGGCCTCTCTTTAAGACTCTAACCTTAGAAAACATGAGCCATCTCAATGAAGAGAAACCTCATGAGTGACATCTATGTGGGAAAGGCTTCAGTCAATCTTACTACCTTAGACTGCATGAGAAAATCAATCATAGGAATGTCAGCTGTTTGAGATGTATGTCCTGCCAATGTTCTGCATGTAGGAACCCATCCTGGAGACAAACTTCAGTTCTTGTAGCATATGTTCTAACCTGATATTACAAGATATAATGACTAAATTTTTTTTCTTATAGTTCACATATTTTTTCTCCTACTCATATTTTTTCCTACTACCAAATTTGAAAATTATCTGATTGTTAACCTACCTTCTTTCTGATATAATACTTTAAGTTATAAATGTTCTTCTGAATGCTCTTTGTCCCAGAGATTTGATATATGAAGCCTTCTTTATCACTTTGTTCAAAGCACTGTTTATTTACTTCTTGTGTGCCTTCTTCCTTGGTGAAGTATGTATAGGTGTGCCATTTTGTGTTGAAGGACCTGGTTTGTGGTGATGGGGTTCTATAGATCTTAAGGTGATTGATTTCTAATATAATCAGTCATGCATTAAACACAGTCTGCATGATTTTAAATGTTTTAAAAGGCAATGGAAATGCTTAAAATTTAAAATATAAGATTGAATTAGTTACATACATGTCAAAACTGATCAAATTGCATGCTTCCAATATATGCATTTTATTGTTCTTCAACTACTTCAATAAAATCATGAAAAAATGTGAAGAAACCTTCAATTGTACTTGTGAAATCTAAATCTGAGCACCCCATAACTGAAGAACACCCTTTAATCAGTATGAAAAAAATTTGAAGTAATTTGAATCCTCTCTTGGCATACACAAGTTTCTATAAAATAAGCCATATGAATTATGTTTGATTTAAAAAGTCATAATATGTGATCTTTCTTAAATGGAATTAGCTTATTTTAAGCCCTGTCAAGGAAATAATGTAGTAGCCTACAATTTTGAACTCTCAGCTTTCTTTTTTTAAGAGAGAGAGAGAGAGAGAGAATTTTATTTTTTAGTTTTCAGTGGACACAACATCTTTGTTTGTATGTGGTGCTGAGGATCAAACCTGTGCCACACGCATGCCAGGCAATCATGCTACTGCTTGAGCCACATCCCCAGCCCCAACTCTCAGCTTTCAACCAACCAGAGTGTTTGACAGGAAAGTCATATTGACACTATCCAGGTCCTAGACAGGGTTTCCTCAATCCCATGTATGTTCAGAACCAACCCCACACCCTTGTATTCCTCAGGAACTTCTTGATCTTCATTTACATTGCTTCCTTTGTGTCCATTGGGGAACTTTTCAGAATGAAACAATTTTTTTTAAAAAAATTGCATTTTCAAGGATTTCACATTCAAGTTTAATGTTCTCTCATCTCTCCCTTTAACCTGGTATTTGCAAGGGTGAAACAAGGTGAATGATTGAATTTCCATTAATAAGTTACAGTTGTACTCTTGTTACTCAGATCAACAATAATTAGAAACAGAAAAACACAATTTTAATGTATGAGACATAATGAAACAAAAAGTTTGGTTTGAATGATAATTTCCCCATGTTCTTTGAACAAGAAAACCTATTTTCATTTGTGCTGGAATTTGCGTAATATGTAGAAAGTCTTTATTATGCCACCAAAGAGATATATTTGGTATTTTTTTCCTTTTTCCTGGTTTTCACCAGCCTCAAAATCAACTGGCTTTAGAAGCTACAGACAGAATTTGTTTCACATGATTCTCTTTCTCAGCCTGTTTTTTATCTTTTTTCATGTGAATCATTTAAATCTTGTTTGGATGTTCAATTTATGTTGTGAGCTGTTAGAGGGAAAAGGGGAAATTATCTCTGGTTTGTTTCTAATTATGTGCAGCACATTGCCACAAACTTAATGGCAACACCAATAAGATTCATTAAGTCATAGACTCATAGGTCAGAAGTCCAAGTCAGAGCAGGTTGGATCCTCTGGAAGCCTGTCACAGGACCTCATGTAGGTGCTGGCTGCATCATGATCTCAGTGGGGCCGGTTGATCCCCTCACTCTCAGTCTTTCAGGAGGATGCAATTCCTCAGGGTTGTGGTGCTGTGGACCTGAATTTTGACACCATGGTTTTTGTTTGCTGTCATATATCTCCTTATATTTTGTGAGAGTTTGCAGATTTGGGTGTGTTTGTGTTTGTTGCAGTGTTTGATTCTTTGGGCTGGCTAGACAAGCACTATACCACTGCACTGAATCCCAGGCCTACAGTTGCTTCTTCTGTGCCTGAAGGAGGCCTGTTCAGAGTTTTGGTTCTGTCTGCAATCCTCCTATCACAAATAATAGATTCCTGTTACACCACTCAGCTTTTCAGGTTCTCTCAGGTGCCTTCCCTTTGATTAGCTCACAGTGTCTGTAATTGTATGAGCAAACTACCCCCCTCATTGCCAGTTTTTGTGGCTGTGAACAAAATATATGACAAGAACAACTTATGGAACAAGTATTTTGTTTTGGACTCAGTTTTAGAGTTTCAATCTGTGGCCACCTGACTGCAATGCTTTAGGCCTGAGGTGAAGCAGAACATCCTGGCACAAGGGCATGAGAGAGAAAAGATACTCTCTAATGACAACCAGGAGCAGAGAGAGTGTGGAGCCAGGGATGAGGTGCTTATTCCCCAAGGGCATTAGGGGACTATTTCCTCACCTCTGGCCCAACTTCCAAGTTTCCCTCCAGTAGAAGTAGTAGTAGATTTATATTTTAAATCTTATATTTCAAATTATTGGTCAATCAATTTACTGATCAGGTCACATCCATCTCTCCTAAGGTAATCATCTCACCTCCAAAATTTTGGAACATTTCTAGATTTCTAATATGAGATTTTGAGGAAGACCTCATTTCCAATCCATTGTCCTGAACGAGAGAGCAGAGTGAGGACAATGATGGTGACTGAGAGCCACAGGCAGCCTCATCAGACAGGAGAGCACCTTGAAGATGAAGCCATGTGTGTCAGTACCTTCTTAGGCTTTAATTCCACCTTTGGATGTTGTTAGGTGCAGGGCAGGCTGAGTAAGCTGTCTGCAGGACATGCCAAACAAAGTTAGCTGCAGGATGGCCTGGCTTCTCTAACCCTCCATCTGATTCTTTATCAACTGTTTACTTCAAGCCCAAATGCCCAAGCCCCTGGTCAAGGCTGAGCGCTTTGCCCCCCTGCTCAAGGCTGAACATGTAGCCCGCCGCTCAAGGCCAAACACTTAACCCCCTTGTGTGCCAACAAGGCTGCTTGCAAACCCAGAGACACCATGAGATTTGGGCTATAAAGACTCCCTCCTGCTGGGCTTCTCTCTCTCTTGCTTTCTCTCTTGCTCTCTCTGTCTCCCTTACATGCATGCTCTCTTCTCTCTCTCTCTCTCTCTCTCTCTCTCTCTCTCTCTCTCTCTCTCTCTTTTCTCCTCTGTTTCACTGCTGCAATAAAGATTTCTTGGTCACTCCAAGTGTTGTGGTCACTTTCCTTTCAGATGTAATTTGGAAAATCTAGTCATTCAATGTCAGGTCACATCCTATCCAGGGGCTGGGGCACCCTTGTTGTCCAATCTATCACAACCCCCAATCGCCCTGACAACTAAAGCATCAAGAGCCTCAAAAATAATATATAATGAAAGACACTGGTAGCTATTCAATGAATAAAAAAAACAACTAAGAAGCAGGACATTGAGGCAGAAACAGAAAAACTCATTTTCTTAAGAATTTCCTTAACACTCTGGCTAGGTGCCCAAGGGCAAGCCTATAATCCCAGAGACTTCAGAGCCCCAGGCAGAAACATCACAAGTTGAAAGCCAGCCTCTGCAATATGGTAGTCCCTAAGCAACATAGAGAGCCCCTACCTCAAAAAAAAAAAAAAAAAGGACTGGGGATGTTGCTCAGAGGTAAAATGCCCTGGGACAGCATTTATTTAGTTCACTAAAACATGGGCAAATGAACAGGCACTTCTCCTAAGAAAAAATAAATATGTACAACAAACACTTGAAAAAAAGTACTGGATATCACTAGTTTTCAAGGAATGCCAATGGTAACCAGACCAAAGAAATAAATGTATAACAAATGTTGACAAGGATGTAGAAGGTTTGTGAGTTAAAGCTCATAGTTGTGAGGTCACATGTGATGATCAATAACATATCTATTTGTTAATGAATTGTAAACAGTTCAATTTAAACATGTGTGTATGTATGCACACACACGCGTGCGTGTGCACGTGCAGCCATATCTTGAAGAGTGCCAAACCTTGGGGATCTATACTATTTAGTATCACTGATGTGTGGATTAGGAATGTTTGAGGTTCTGGCCATTCAATTTTTATTTTGTAGACTGTTTGCTTTTTATAACAGGAACTAAAAAGTGCAATGCCAACCTCTCTGTGCAAGAACAGTTTCACCCTAAGGCGGCCAATTCCATTTTGACTTGCTATTGGCAAGACTGACAGAGACCATGTGTGGACTGACCTCCTGGCCCTTCATGGAACCAGCTCCCTGGCAGTGTTGGTAGAGGGCTGAGTCTTTGCTTTAATATGACAGAGTTTCTTGCCATGTTTTTGCACAGATTATTTTACCTAAACAGATGCCTTCTGGTTCCACCCACACCTCCATACCAGTAATGATTTGTACATTTCAAAATAGATAGAATAGGGGCTTTGGATGTTCTCACACAACTACAAGGTATCACTGAGGAAGTAGATTTAATCAATGAACAGAGGTGTGGAAATATCAGGTGGTACTCTGCAGATATACACAATTATTCTATCAATTAACAGGAAAAAGAAACAGAGATGGTATGTAAGCTCCCTTCTCTTTATTTACTTTCATACTTGTGTGTGGTATTTCTTACTTGGATCAACT